AAACCAAAAAAAAAAAAAAAAAAAAAAACCTTTTTTTTTTTTTTTGCACGTCCGGATGCCCGGCCAGTCCGGGCCAGGCGTGAGAATCTTCCTAGCTTTCAAGGACTCGCATGCGCATCTCGAGGTGGAGCATGAGTGTGCACACTGCACGTCGGATGCATTGCCCAGCATCCCACCTATAAGTATTCAACAAGCCCCTTATTTTTGTTAACATGTGTTATTTGTTTTCGGAAACTGAAGTATAATTTTATGGACATGTGTTTTACAATCACATTACCATGTATGGCCATGGATGAAGCACGGACCTGAATTGGCGAAGTGATGAATTTTGAATCTTTTTTATCATTATGCTATGATTATAATTATTTAATTTTCTGCTTGTTTTTCCCTTTTTCTTTTGGTGCGCAGAGATGGTGAAGGTCACAGGTCACACCTTGCTAGGGCAAGCTTAGTGATCCGAACTTGTACAATAGTTTGTTTAACTTTATTACTTTTGGTGTCTTGTGTTTCGGTTTTTACCTTTGTTTCGAGGAAAATGCTTCCGAAGAATCTGATGCTTAATATGAATTCAGCATCGCAAAGATTTCACTTGCTTACGCAAGAGAAAACCGAGGAAAGAGAACAGTGGACAAATGATTCCAGCAACCAATCCATGATCCAACAAAACCCACCAAGTTGAACCGCCCAACCCATCAATCAACCAGCCTTTACCAGGTATTCAGTCTATGACGCTATGCAACCTCGCGGCGTCCACCAATCAAATAAATCAACAATCAAACCTACCATTGTAAACACCGGTTCTGGGAGGTTAAGGATTGTGAGCTATCCTCAACCCTCAACCCTCAACCCTCAACCCTCAAGTTCAGCGTCAACCCTCAAGCTCGGCATCAACCCTCAACCCTCAACCCTCAACCCTCAACCTTCAAGCTCGGCGTCAACCCTCAACCCTCAACCCTCAACCCTCAAGCTCGGCGTCAACCCTCAACTCTCAACCCTCAACCCTCAACACTCAACACTCAAGCTCGGCGTCAACCCTNCCCTCAACCCTCAAGCTCGGCGTCAACCCTCAACTCTCAACCCTCAACCCTCAACACTCAACACTCAAGCTCGGCGTCAACCCTCAACCCTCAACGCTCAACCCTCAATCATCATCAACATCAGCACTGTGGCATGTCGTTGAGCACTGCCCATCGCTGCAGCAACGAATTCCTGTTGGACAGGTAGTGGGAGCTACCGTTGGATTGCATTGAGTGTATGTCCCGTTATAGCACACTCTTCCAGATGAGCAGTGGGCAGTTGTGCAACAAGCCCTGCAACCATCATCACAGCACCTTTGACCACTCGGACAACTAGACGAGACCGACGGTGAGCAGTCCGAGCACACACCATTGACGCAGTACCTTCCAGTTCTACAGCCAGTATTATTACAACAGGCCTTGCACAAACCATCCCCACAGCATCTCCAAGCTGTACTAGTTGGACAATCAACATTAGTACAGCAGCTACGGCATTGTCCGTCGCCACAGCATTTCGTATCCGGTGGACAACTAGAAGCACAGAGGCTGCACTCACCGTTAACGCAATATAATCCCGGCGCACAGCTGGATGGGACAGATGATGAGCAGTTAATCCCGGCGCACAGCTGGATGGGACAGATGATGAGCAGTTCTGGCAGACACCATTGACGCAGTACCTTCCTGTCCTACAACCAGTATCACTGCAACAGGCCTGGCAGAGACCATCCCCGCAACACCTCCAAGCATGAAGCGGACAGTCCGAACTAGCGCAGCATTGCCGACACTCTCCGTTGCCGCAGCATATCATACCACTAGGACAAGCCGAGGGACAGAGGCTGCATAATCCATCTACACAATATGAACCGGGACTACAATCTCCATTCTTGCAGCAGCTCTTGCACTCACCATCACTGCAGCATTTGGTACCACCAGGGCACGGTGTTGCGCAGGCACTGCATTTCCCTGCCACACACTTCCCTCCACCTGGGCAGTCGCTGGCCTCACAGCATTCCTTTCATCTACTCTCCTCAAGACAGCATCGAGTTCCATTAGCACATTTTGTATCGCAGGCACTGCATTCAATGTGCAATCACTGGCTAGACAGCACTGCTGGCAAATCCTGGTGCTGCAGCATTTTGTGCCAGCACGGCAGGCGGGTGAGCATGCACTGCATTGCCCTTCTACACATGTTCCCTCTGTCAGCGAGCAATCCTTATCTTCGCAGCTCTGGCGGCATATCCCCTCCCCTTGGCAACACCTGGTTCCGTTAGGACATTTGGTCGTGCAGAAGCTGCATTGTCCTTCCACACAGCTCTGGTTGGACACACTGCAATCGTCATGAGTGCAACAGCTTTTGCATGTGCCATCTCTACAGCATTTCGTGCCGTCCATGCAATCAGCTTCACAGTGGTTGCAATGCCCACTGCGGCACCTCTGGCCGCTGGGGCAATCTGCATCTTCGGAGCAGACCTTGCATATCCCGTCACCGCAGCATTTTGTTCCCTCTTCACAGTTTTTTCGACATGCACTGCATTGCCCATTGTCACATGTTTGTCCCAGTACGCAATCCTCATCGCTGCAGCACGTCTTGCAGCTTCCATCTCCGCAGCATTTCGTTCCCTTTGGGCAGCTGTTTTGACACCTGTTGCATTGCCCATTATTGCATGTCAGACCCTGAGCACAGTCCTTATCCCTGCAACAGATCTTGCAGGTTCCGTCCTTGCAGCATTTTGTTCCAGCTGGGCAGCTGGTAATGCAGAAGCTGCATTGCCCATTGTTGCACTTCCGACCACCTTTACAGTCTCTATCGCTGCAGCAGCTTTGGCATGTCCCACCAGTGCCACCACTGCAGCATTTTGTCCCCTTTTTGCAGGTGTTTTCACACCCGCGGCTTTGCCCGTTGTTGCATGTCTGTCCTGGTCGGCAGTCCTCGTCGCTGCAACACATCTTGCAGGTTCCATCCATGCAGCATTTTGTTCCAGCTTCACAACCGGTCCGGCAGAAGCTGCATTGCCCATCGTGGCACCGCTGCCCCCCAGCGCAGTCCGTGTTGCTGCAGCACTCTTTGCATTTCCCATCACTGCAGCATTTTGTCCCCCTTTTGCAGGCGTTTTCACACCCGCGGCATTGCCCGTTGTTGCATGTCTGTCCTGGTCGGCAGTCCTCATCGCTGCAACACATCTTGCAGGTTCCGTCCATGCAGCATTTTGCTCCAGGTTCACAACCGGTCCGGCACAAGCTGCATTGCCCATCGTGGCACCTCTGCCCCTCAGCGCAGTCCGTGTTGCCGCATCACTGTTTGCATTTCCCATCACTGCAGCATTTTGTTCCAACTGTACAGTTGTTGCGGCACATTGTACATGTTCATGTTTGGCATCGTCCCATGCAACATTTTCTCCCGTACCCACAGTCAGGGTCACTGCAGCACTGGACATCCAGACATTGATCCGCACAGCACTTTCTCCCGTGTGGGCAGTCTTGATGGAGGCAGCATGCCTTGCACTCCCCAAGACAGCATCTCCTTCGGAATCCTTGACGCCTGCAGTGCAGATGGGAGCAGCACTCCTTGCACTCTCCAGCACAGCACTTGTGACCATGACTGCAATGTCGATCTCTGCAGCATTGAGTGTTCTGGCACACTCCGTTGCAGCATTTGTTCTGCTCGCCCGGGCAATCACTATCTCTCAAGCATCTCTCTCTGCAGGGTCCAGTAGCACTTGCAAATGACTGACCGTATTTGCCGTCTTTGCAAAGATGTTTTGCACCTATGCTGTCGCGGAGCAGAGTAAGAAGAAGCAGACTTTCCAAGAAAAGAATTGTGTGCGTCATGCGATTACATTTTGCCATCTTGCTTTTTAACTGTAACCTAGTTCACTGATGAGCATTACCCACCAGATCACCTGCCTACGTCGTCCGAGGCAGTAACTGTTGTGGAATGAACCAAGCCTGCACGCGGGTGTGAGCAGCACCGTCCTCTTTTACATTTTATAACTTTGAAGGCAATGTATAGAAACCTGCTCAGTACAAACAATCAACGATACTGTAAAACTTGAGCAAGTGCTTCTGATTCCTCTGGAGCAGCTGTTACCTCTGTCTACGTTTAGAATGCAACAAGTATTGGGGTGCCATGGGTGCTTGGGCCACTTTCACAAGGTCGATGGCCATTTGTAAATGATCAAAGACTGACTAGGAAGTGCTCCTGGATGCCAGCTGAACCAGCAAGCAAAGAAACAGTCCTCGCTCTCAATCAGTGTTCTGTATCCCCAGCCTGTCCGGTTGTACACTTCTTGTCTGTTCTTTTCGTGTTAGGTCCATTGGATGGATTCCAAGATTTGGATGGCATCCCGGGCCCTTGTTTGAACTTTGAAGTGCTTTCTAGGTCCTCTTCTCGTGTTTGCATTGAGACGCGGACTGCATTCTTACCTCTCTTCGCAGTGTGTTTACCAGCCCTTTTTTGTTTTTTTAAACCCGGAAGTCTCCCTTTTGTTAAACCCCAAGACTTCAGTGAGTCCACGCAAGAAGAGACATTGGATCTCGTACTCGACTAATTATGTACTAGAAAACCAGTTTCTGTTTTTCATCTTGGGACATGGGAACTTCTATTCTAGCAAGTTTGAGCAGCGCTTCTATTCTAGCAAGTTTCCTCGAGTGCGTGTGCTTTGAATTCTAGGCAAGTCTTTGGGGTTACTACATAGAATTCCAACCTGACGGTTGCCTGGGAGTGCATTTTCCACTCACTGATTTTCCCCAATCCTCTAGCGGGTCTTGCGTGACGCCCCACGTGAGACGCGGTTCCCAGGTTGGGGAAATCCGCAGGAAGGGCGCGCGGCAGGCAGAGGCGAAACCTGATGGTCCCACGCGAAATGTGGGGCGAAAAGACCAGGGCGGCAGTGTAAGCGAGCCCTGGCTCTGGCGGCGACTGTTCGGGCCGAGGTTGGTTCGGGGCTGTGTAAATGGAGTTTGGGCGGCGCGATTATTCAACTTATTCAACAATTGTGTGGAACACTCCGGCGGAGGGCTGCTGTTGGCGCGGTTTTCTGAACGGGGTCTTTTTTGGCCGCGGGTTTCAGGACTGAATCCACAAGTGTGGCAGTATATATTCCCATGTTCTGGCGAAAGATTCATTTGATTTTCCTCATCCTGTCGATTGACGGAGCGTGAGGGCAGCCGCGAGCTCAGAGAATACATGTTCTCTTTCCCTCTCTCTGTCTCTCTCTCTCTCTCTCTTTCTCTCTCTCTCTCTCTCTCTCTCTCTCTCTCTCTCTCTCTCTCTCTCTCTCT